TGTCTCCTGCGCACATGCACTGTGCAGTTGAACTTGGGGAAGCACAGCCACACATACCACGGGAATCTCTCAATTAATGACCTTGAACTCCAAGTGGGCCTCAGTGCTGGCTGGGATTGAATCACACCTCACATTCTCCAAGACTCTTCTTTCTTCAAACCTCCCCCACACAACCCAAGACTTCCAAGACAACCCCAAGTCTCCCCACCTACCAGCCCCTCTCTAATCAATATCCATACCCCCTCCCGCCAAGACAACCATTCATTTGATTTCCATCACCACAGACACGTAGTTTTGCCTGCTCTAGAAATCCATGTAAGTGGAATCAATCTGCGCATACTCGTGTTTGTCTTCTTTCGCTCAATATAATGCTTTGAACCTCATTCATACTCCTGTATATATCAATAGTTCATTCCTTTTTTCTTTCTGAGTGGTTCATATATACTCCTGTATATATCAATAGTTCATTCCTTTTTTCTTTCTGAGTGGTCATGTCTTGTGTGACCATGTCACATGTGTTTTATCTACTTGCCTGTTAATGGTCATTCAGATTGTTTCTAATCGGGAGATTTTAAAATAAAGTTGTTGTGAATATGTTTGTATAATTCTTTTTGCAGACCAAAGTTTTCATTTCTCTTTCGTAAATACCTAGGGAAGGAATTGCCAGACCCTAAGGTTGGCATATGCTTATAATGATGAGAAGCTGCCACGCTGGCTTCTAAAGTGGCTGCCCCATCTGTCCCTCTGGCACCAGACTGCGAGAGTTACGGACATGCCACACAATCTGACCATCTCAAATGTGTCTCTCCACTGCAAAACAAAACCAAACCTCCAATGACCTAATGACAGAAAATGTGACTCTATTAAGGAATTATGGTAAACTTTTAGGTGTGGAAATGATTTTATGGTTAGGCTTAAAAGTCATCCTTATTCCAATCCACATGGCAATACTTAAGGATGAATTGAGGTGATGTCAGGGAGGCAGGAGATAGGGTACAGAGGAGACAAATTGGCAGTGAGTTGGTCACTCTGGAAGCTGGGTGTTTGGTACATGCTCTTCTCTCTACTTTTATATTGGCAAAGGACACCAGAGCCAGACAGAAGATAGGCAGTGGAGGCAAAGTTATTCCGGAACTATTGCAGTAGAGGAAGAGAGACCTCGGTACAGCACCGACCTCCGTCCCAAGCACAAGAATAAGTGGGAATTTATACCCAAAGAGCAAGGTGAGGAAGTGGATTGAAAATTACTAAGAAGAAACATGGGGGGAAGGGCAGGACCCCAGCTCCACTGACTTAATAGAACACTTAACTAAGGCGGTGAGCAGTAAGGAATTTGATCAGATACCGAGGAGAGAGGATTCTGGCTAAACTGACCCAACAGGATTCCCACTGAGACTGGATGAAGCAGGCCAAGGACAGGGACTAAGGTCAAGGCCCAGAGGAGCCCGACTAGAGTTAGGTCAAGGAGAGAATCCTTGTTTCTGTGTTCTTGGAATTTGCCAGAAGAAAGAGTTTTTAAAAACCCTCCAGTGGATCTCTACCTCAGAGCAAAACCTGGGTCTTTACAAGGCCCCCGTCCCTCTCTAACTGCATTTTCTGTGACTCCCCACCTCCCCTGCTCCAGGCACACACGCCTCCCTGCCGTCACACCGGGCCTCTGCGCTGGCACACTCTTCCCCAGACAGCCCGGGGCTACCTTCCGCTGAAGGAATCTGAGAAACAGAAGGTGCAGGAGGGACTCTGTGACCTTCCCTTGAAGCAGGTCATGAGACCCTCCTGTGAGAGGGGGCCCCCATATCCAGAGGAAAGGGGCAGGGGCACCCTTATGTCATGTCACATTTTCCTGCAACTTTGCCATGAAAACACTCAAGTTTAACAGCTTCTTCAGGTCTTCGCTTCCTCATGAAGGCTCCCGTGTCACAGAAAGTTCATGTTAAATAAGTTTGTATGCTTTTCTATTATTAATCTGTCTTTTGTCCTTTTGGAAGGGTACAAGGAAAAGATGTTTTCCTTCTTCTACATTTGCCTTTAACTCTTTGCTCAAATGTCCTTTTCTCGATGAGGTCAACTCTGACCTCCCTGCTTAAAGCTGCTCACCCCCATGGGGCTTCTCTGGCCGTGGCCCTCCGTAGTTTCCAATATACTGTCAGCTCTGCTTCTTGTTGCTGGTGATTGTTTGTCCCCTGTCTCCCTCCTCTGGCCTGTCAGCTCTACTGGCCAGGGACGTCTTGGTTATATTGTTAAAATATCACCAGCTCTTAGAACAGTGCCTGGCAAGGGTAAGGAGGCCACATGTGGAGACACTTTGTTCTACTGGTTTGTTGTCTATTTTATTATTTGTTTGCTTAGTTAATATCAGAAATAAAACCAAGGGTAATTTTTTGGTGTCGTGTATAGGCTGGTCTTAGAATAAACTCACTTGAAATGATGTCCCATGCATGCCAGTGTCATCCAGGGGCATCTTGAAGTCACACGTCTAGACTCCGCAGCTCTTTGATCCTGGGTACATACATAGGACCTGCAGCAAGAATTGAGAAGGGACTTCATAGGTCCCAGGGTTCCTGTGGGAGGGCCAAAGAGAGCATCAGCGCACCACACAGTGAAGCCACCACAGGTCCCCACTGGAGCAAAAAGAGATGGAAAAGAAGCCTATCTGAGTGTGGGGCTGAATTCCATATAAACACCAAACAGCCAGGTTCAACCACCTCCACTCTTGCCCATTGGGCTTTGATGGGGTTCAGAATAGGCCTCCCCAAGATATGCTACTTTGGCATGTAGATTATTTTGAGCTGAAGGCAATCTAGATGCTGTGGGCTCGAGAAATTTTCACCTCTCCCTTAAAGAATTTAAATTTAGATCTTTGCCCATAATAAGAGTTATTAGAAATAACTTTATATGAGCTATCTGTAGGACAGGGCAAACTTCTAATGACTGAATATCTGCTCTTCACATTGTCCTGCAATTGACCTTCCTTCCCTCTGAAGCCCCAGGGGCCTTTCCTCATCCTTAGCTCAGACTGTCATAAATATCTCATCTTCCTTTTCTGTCTCTGACCCTCTCATATCTGTGGGGTCTCTGACTCTCACGTTTGTGGGGTTCCCATATGTATGTATGTAATTAAATTTAGTAACTTTTCTCTTGTTGATCTGTCTCATGTCTATCTGACGACTAGACAAGCAGGAAGAACCTAGAGGGGAGAGGAAAGTGTCTTCCTCCCTGGCAGCTACTCTGCCCCTCCCTGCAAGGCAAGAGGCGGCAGCAGAGCATGGGACAATGGTCCTTGGAACTGGGAATCAGGTTGCATGTTTTATCTCATGCAAACCGGCTCCCCGGAAACCTGCAGGGGAGAGGCGACTCAACACACACATCCCAGAATCCTCCCTGGCTCTTGAACAAGGCATCTACCCACCCACCCCCACACACACACACCCTCGGCCCCAGCTAAGGGGGTGGGAGCGGGGGAATGCAATGTGCCTCCTTTCTCTTACTCCTCCTGGACTATTCACGTGGGGCAGCAAACACAGAAAGACTTTATTCACAGGCTCCATTGCTTGGCCCTCTCCGGAAAGCTTTCTGAAAATGCAAATTCCTCAGAAGTGGATTCTTTTCACAGGCTTTAAAGTTGCATATTCTGAGAGCAGTTGAGCAGATTGAGATTTCCCTGGGCAGGAGGCTCCTTAAAAATAATATTTGCGTTTCAAGGAGAAACTTCTGAACAAGCCAGAAAGCAGAATCTGCAGCTGTGAAGTCAGGCTCGGCAACGCAGGGTGGGAGCCCAGATTCTAGGGCCTCACCTCATGGGGGGGTGTGGCAGTGCGAAGCCCCCACTCTTGCTGTCTGCACCCCACCCCCCCTTGGCCTTGCCTCCTTCAGTCTTTTGTTCAGCACGGCCCTGTTCTGGTGCCTAATTAGTCCTTGACGACTGGGGACTCCGTAAGGCAGAGCTGCTGCCCTTCAGAAGCTCAGATCCAGTGACCTGCAAAGCCTCTACATGTCCCAACCCTCCCCACTCCAGGGGCCCTGAGTCTGCCTGCTCCCTTCATCACCATATACCCAGGAGGTTCTGGCCTCAGGCCCTCCCCAGTCGAACGGACCCCCCCTGGGGTGACTGCCGTGTCCATAAGCACTGGGCATTTTAAGCCGGCGTTTCTGTCTGTGTTCCCACTCACACCTACCCACACCTCCCCCAGCTCCTACCTCAGAATCTCAAACACTAGGTCCCCCACCCCTCTTGCTCAACCTTCAGCCAGGTGTCCTGGGGTGGCCCTCCCTCCCCCAGAGGCTCTCCCCGGAGGAGGGGGTACCCTTCTAGCTCAAGCGTCACATGCGATAATTGAGAAAGGCAGGCACCTTCCTCTTCTCTCATACCTTTTCCACCCCTAACCAAGAGATTACTTAGTGAAAATGGAAAATCTTTACTGATTACATGGGATTTCATAATGTCATTGTTTCCTGCTCTTTCCACATCCCATGGCAATCTTTTTCCACATAATATCTCATTTTTAACAGCTACCTGGTGTCCCATCATCTGTTTCACAGTTAATCAAACGAGGCTCTGTGGGGTTCACCTAGCACTGGCTCATGGTACTACTCAATGAATATTGACTGTGGTTATCAGCCAGACTTATTTTCAGGGAAAAGGGAGCCTAGTGCCATCTGACCTAGGCAGTAAAGGAAACGATGGCTCATGATCTGCAAAGTCTACAGGTAGAGAAGGCTTTGGGGTGAGCTTACTCTAAAGATCTCATTTCTTTCTTTCTCCCCACTCTGCCTTCCATCAGTCAGGTCAGCTTCATACTGAGACAGGCTCTCCCTGTGGTTATAGATGGTTGCCAACAGCACCCAGGGCTGTGAGGGGTGGCGGGATATGCCACCCCAAAATATGCCAATTTACATGCCAATAAACTCACTTGAAATGATGTCCCATGCATGCTAGTGGCATCCATGGCTCTGAAACGAGGTCTGAAATTGTGGTCTGAAAACACTTAAAACACCTAAAGATGACCCAGGTGCAGCTGAACTCGTTGAACTCGCCGGGAGATTATGGGCGACTTGGGGCCAGCGTTAGTGCATCTGAGGATGATTTAAGAGCATCATTTGGGGCCTCAGTCATTTGTGAGTGAGAGTGAATCTGAAGTCTGGTCTGTATGTGTGAAGTTGTGCACAGAAATGCTTTTTATAGTTGCATGAAAGTCCACAACCTTAGGGCACTTATTAAAGTAAAGTACGGTTAATCATATACATTATAATACTATTTGGTTTTTTGAAATGACAATGTCGGTCCATAGGTGTTGATATGAAAGAATATCCAAAATGTATGGTCCAGTGATAAAAGCGGGTATCAGAACCATCCGTACTGTGTGATGCCATTTGTGTCAATGTCCTATGGGCTGTCAGATCTATAGCAGGAGCATGGAGGAGGGACTGTGTCTAGTTTGTGTCATCTGAAGAATGCCCACACTTGTAAAGAATTTTTATAAGATTTTATTTGAGTCAAACATAGGATTCACCTGGAAGCAAGATCTCCACAGACTGAGAAAAACGCTTCTTGAGAATGACAGTTTGCTGCTTTTTTATGCCTGTGGAATTAAGGAGGGAATGTATGGAGGTAAGAAAAAAAGCATAGTTAATAAGATTATGTGCTCTCTTGAGGATGGTTTCACTTGAGGGGTCTGAAAAGAGGCATTTCAAAGATGTATTAACCTAGATGCACATAAACAATAGGCAGGGTTTGTTTAAGGCAAAGGTAAACCTCTCACCACCCTCCACGACCTGCCCAGTTAGGAAAAGCCACATTGGAACCTTGCTATACTCCAGGACATAAAACCGTGATTTACACATAGTAGACTCAGCAAATAACAGTTGACTATAACAAGCACTTCATTAAAAACCTGGAAGGTTCCTAATAATAAGAAGCTGGATGATATTTTTTTATTTTCCATTGTTTTGTCTTCTGTTTTTTCTACAAGAAACATGCTGAGAATAGGGTTGTGATTGCTGCCTTCAGAATTACACCATAATGAATATGTAAATCTTTCCATGAGCAAACACTGAGTTTTTAGGTCTGCGTTGTACCTGCTGATGTCTCCACTGGAGGCTCCACTGAGTTTCACTGAGTGCGGACTGGTCACCTCGAGTTTGCCTCTAAGACAAACTAATGACGAACCTCATTCCACTAACCAGAGAATAAAGATAAGTTCATAATGTCTATGTCAGGTATCAAGCAAACATCAGATGAAGAAGAGCAGCTTTGAAAGAACGCGAATGGATGAAAATTTTTTCTACCACAGTAATCACAGGAGTGGTAACAAAATGATTATTCTCCAAGGCCGAAATAAAAACTTCAAACCCAATAAAGTTCCCTGAGCTCCCCAGATTAGAGAATGGCACAGAGCTCAGCATTAGAGTCCGATTGAAAATATAACATTTAAAATATTCTGCGTGTGTATGTTTATCTTGTCGTGACCAAAAAATAAAGAAAAATCATTTCGGCTTACTTACAAAATACATCAATGTAATACTTTATTTAAAAGTCACGGAGGACATCAGGAAGAAGAAAAACATAGGTTAGGGGAAATGTGAAGCCAGGGATACGGTTAATACACGAAATGATTGCCATGAAACTCCTTTGTACTTACTAGATACGGGTCCCAATTTGACTCTGAGCTTCCTCGTAGCCCATGCAAAGAAAAGAACAAGACCAGCTGCATTACTTGCAATGCCCATTAGATAAAAACAAATCTGGTATTTAATTCTGAGACCAGGAAGAAATCTCTTTCATGCATTTTCATCTAAACAGCCTGTGTCATATAGTGATCAAGGCCCTAAAAACATCCTTATAATAAATAAAATAATGAGCGTCACGGGTTGGGTGTTAATAGTCTCCCTTATTTAAGTCGATGGCATGACGCAATGTGGGTTCAAATAAAACAATCCTACCAGAGGTGAAAGCATGTGATCGTCCAAGAGGTAGTATTCGATCCCAAAATAAATGCTGACAAGGACTAGAACTTTCACGCATGAATCACTGCGTGCCTGCCATTCGGTCTGCCAAAATGTTGCTTAATTCAAGCAAATATTTGCTAAATGTCGAACAAGAATGAGCTTGAGGTTGTGGCTCTGATGAGACAAGGACTCAGAATATTCTATGTTGCTGGTTAAGTGCAGACTCCAATGTCTGAACAAGCAGCTGAGCTGGGAGCAGGATTAGCAACCTCTTCTGAAAATCAAGGAGCTTGAACAAAGGCCACTGGATTCATCCTACCCCGCTACCTATCCTCCCTACCACCCAGCAGGGCCAGGCAGGACCCAGGCAGGCCACTTCAGATTGACGCTCACTCACAAATGACTGAGGCCCAAATTCTCAGGCTAGTATTCTTGACCTTTTCAGGTTCAAGAACCATTTTTAATGCTCCCTGTCACCGAAACATGAATGATAATTGTAACTTTAGAACTGGTTCATTGAAAAATATACAAAACGTCAGACTCCTTTTTAAAAATTGCACGTACAATAAATTCTCATTACATAAAAAAAAATTATAACTGTGTATGTGACAGATGCTAACTAGATTTATTTGGTGCTCATTTTGCAATATATACAAATATCAAAACATTATGCTGTACACCTGAAACTAATATAATGTTATATGTTGATTATACCTCAATTTAAAAAAAGGAAGAACAGAAAGGACGGAAGGAAAAGAAAGAAAGGAAGAAAACCCAACCACATAGATAAACAAAGAATGGAGATAAAAATCACAACATTGTGGCTGCCCAGCCTTTAGGGCAGGTGAAAGGCAAGGTTCGCTCTTACTTATTCCTCTCTATAAGCCAAAGGGGAACCAAATATTCTCTCTCCCAGCTTCTTTATAGGTACTGCACATGGTCATACGACCTGAACTTCGCCAATTAGTTGCTCCTGCCAAGGGCTTTGTACTGTGAGGAAGTGAAGCAAAGGCCCTGTGGTCAACCAGAGACAATTCACAGTGGCTGCAGCAGAGACGAGAGTCCAATAGCATGATTCTGAGGGACCAGCAGCAACGATGCCAGGGCCAGGGTCCCAAGCAGACTGTTACTTGGGGGCGGGGGGAGGGATATTGTCATCAAATAGTCTCCCTGGTTTCAGCAGAAGATCCCAGGGGACAGTGACCTCTCTGATGTCTCAGTGCGTAGCTCCTTGAATTAAATGGAGAAATTTAATTCACAGCCCCTTTAGAAAAGACCATGTGATAACATCGAACATATATTCTGTTTGTCTAACTCCTGCTTTTCCCGCCGGGGATCCGACACGTATCAGGGAAATTGTGCCCTGGGGAAAGGAACGAATCAGAACTTTTAGGAGATTTGGGACATTAGCGCTGAACTAACATTAACACCTGGGGGACCAGGACACCGCCAGGTTGAGTGGTAAATGGAGCTCTGATTGGAGTCCTGTTCATAGTCGGACTGGTGGAGTCCTGAACCCATTACTTCTCCAATGTGTGGGTGCAGAGTTACCCTAAACATCCTCACATTGGCTCTGTGACCCAAAAAGTAGGGGCTTTTACAGCAGGAAGGGCAAAGGGGAGAGAAGGCTGAGGAATAGGGACGCTTCCCTTGGATTCCTCTTCCCCGCCCCCAACAAATAGCAACTCCAAAGGAGAACTGTGTCCCAGGAGGAAGCACAGGTGTTAGCATCACTGTGAAAGAGTTGAAGGTGTGTATGGGGCAGGGAGGGGGCGTGCGGCAGTGATTACTCTTACAGCCCCACACAGCTCACCCATCTGGCCAGTGCAGAAAGAGGGAGTGGACAGCAGACCATTTCCTCCACTAGCTGGGTGACATTGGTACATTCATTTCCTGGGGGATGCAAAGGCCCCAGTCAGCTCTTTGAGACCAAGGCTACTTCCTGGTCACTCTGGGCCAGCACTGTTCTTCCGCGAGGCTGTAACCGGGGAGACTCATTCTCAGGCTCTAACTTCATCCAACCAGGCAGATTTTAAAAGAGGATCAAGCTGAGCAGCTTCGAGGTCCCAACCACATGTCCTTACAGCACAGGTCAGGTGCTGCTCCCCTCCCTGCCTGAGCTTTAGATGCTGCCAGATCGGCATGAAGTCACCTTGAGGCCATGGGCAGGATGACAGGTGTAAACTCTTCTCAAAGGCTGTATGCTGAGGTTGCATTTGGCCAACATTACCCTGAGCTAAAAATGCCGAAGTGTTGTTTCTGCTCAGGAGAGCCTGTCACCTGCTCCTGGATGCTAAGCAGAGCTGGCCAGCCCCCCGCTTCCCACGAGGCTCTTGTAGTCATTTCTCCCGGATCCTCTACTCCATGCCCGTCAGGAGGGATGGGGTAGGATGGCTCAAACATGATGTGAGCATAGGGTTTTGCTGATAGAGGCCGGTACAGGTGTCTCCTGGGGCTTGCCCACCTCCCCTCCTAACACGGCTGACCCATCCCAGGCCCAGTAGGGGTACAGTAGGGCCTTAATCCAGGGCCTGTGGCTCTCAGCGCTTACTCCTGGCCTTCTTAACAAACCTTCATTAGACCCCTAAAGTTCAGACGAAACTGAGATGCTTGACCCCCACGTGAATGCCAGCAGTCACGGAGATCTGCATTCCCAGTGCCCTGACAGGAACCAGCCCTGGCCAGGTAGACGATGAAAGGGAAGAGAATATGCCGCCCCAAAATACGTCATTTTGGCATGTGGATTATTTTGAGCTGAAGGCCATCAAGGCCTAGCAGACTCAGGAAAAACTTTATCTCCCCCTTAAATGCCTAAAAGAATTTGGATAGGGGGCCTGTATCAGCAAGAGAGCTATTACCAGAGATAACTTTTTTTATCTGAAAAAAATCTACGTGATGGGGCAAACATCTGATTGCCAAACATCTGCTGTTATCTTCCTGTGACTGGCTCTCCTCCCCTGTGGAGCCCCAGGTCCCGTCCCTTTCCTAAGCTCAGGATGGCTTATTAGCCTCAACTGCCTGACAGCCTTTGAGTCTAGTCTCTTCTCTGGGCTATGTAAGTTTGTTTTTCTCCCGTTAATTTGTCTTATGTCAATTTAATTATTAGAACAGCCAAAGAACCTAGAAAAGAAGAAGGGAAAATTTTACTGCCTCAAAAACAGGAACTGATGTGCTAGCATAGTTGGGGCCCTGTTAGGTCACCCAGCAGCCGGGACAGAGCCGCGGGGCTGCTTCACTGAGAACCCGCAGCCCCTCGTCAGGCTCAGTCTTCAAACTTCCTGCCAAACCTCCTCTCGCCCCAGCCTCATTCCTCCGTGGGTCCGGGGGGCTCCTCAACCTCCTTCCCCTCCAAGGTCTTCCTCACATTTAAGGTCTTTCTCCCCAGAAAGCCGTAGGGTCTCACCAAATTCCATATTCCTTGTAGCTCTCAGAACAATTGTCTTAGGGTAGAATGTAGCAGAAAAAAAAGAGAGAGAGG